ATATATATATATATAGGGTCTGTTAAAATATATATATCAAGTTTCTTAATTATATATATATATATATATATATATATATATATATATATATATATATAGGGCCTGCTAAAATGTTGATATAGTGTCTCTTAAAAAATGTATATATTATGCCCCTTAAAATCCATCTATAGTGTCTCTTAAAATGTATATATAGATTCTCCTAAAATGTATACTGTCATTTAAAATGCATATAGTGTATTCTGAAATGTATTTATATATAGGGATTTTAAAATATATTTATATAGTGTCCTCTAAAATGTATATATAGTGTCTCCTAAAATGTATACTCACTTTGTCAATTGCAGTTATAACTATTACCTGAAAGCTAAACATTTTAATGAGAAAGAATAAACTTTTGTAATTGTAAAACAATTTTTGGGCTTGATCTGTAGATGAGTTAATCTTTGCATTTTTGTCTCTTGAAAAGATTAACAATGCCTTGCTGTAAGAAGAGGATATTTTGAACACTTAAGGTGCCATTTTAGAAAAACATCTTAGGCCTTAGTCTTGAAACTTTAAAATAATTATTATTCTTAATCAGAATGTGGCTAATTAACTTTTATATAATAAGCATTACTACTATTAACAAAGCGTGTATATGGTTTTTTTTTTTTTTTGCTTCTCTAAGAAGATTAATATAACATCTGTTCAATAATTTCCAGATTTTTATCCCCCACCACTGTCATATTTCAATAAGGTTAATCTTGCTTAAAAATAAATCTCATTTTTTACAAAGCAAAAACTATTTTTCAAGTTTTTTTTCCAAGCTCTTCCATTTGGAACATGACCTTTCACCCTCATTTTCAACAATTTTTTCCTAGAATTTGTCTTAGACAGTTTTAATAAATGATGCATAATATTAATACTTGAAGCACAAAAGTTACCATTTTAAGGGAAGATTTGAGAACATTGTTTTAAAACTAAAATGTATCTAAAAAAGTGAAAACAAGGAATGAATTGAGAGAAGTCATAACAGAATGAAAGAAATGGTGGATTTTTAAGACTTCATTGAAATAATAATTTAGATATACAGAAAAAATTGGATTTCGGCATACCTTTAAAATAATTTAAACTATTCCAACCTAAGACTTATGTCTTTGCTTTTATTGTGTAATAAAGTAATTTAAAGTGGAAAAATAATATTAGATGACTGACCCTGGATTTGGATCCAGGTTAAAGGTATAAGGGTGGTAGTTAACCACAAGAAAACTTCATATAAAAAGATTCTAGTGATAGTTAAAAAAAAAGTTGTTTGTAGAGTAAATAGAATTTCTTTTCAGTAATTTCTTATAAATATAATCTTAAATGAAGAAATTATTTCTATTCATTTATATATATATATATATATATATATATATATATAGTGTGTGTGTATTATAGGCATTTTAACATATATATATAGAGACATTTTTAACATATATATATAAAACATTTTTAACATATATTAAAAATATTTTATATATATATATAAATAAACATTTTTAATATATATATATATATATATATATGTATATGTGTGTGTGTGTGTGTGTGTGTGTGTGTCTTATATATATTGTATCAAAAAGAACTTAACTTTTAAACAAAATGGTCAAAATAGATGGAGAAATAAAAAGATATGGGTTCAACATATTCAATCAAAGGGAAATAACTCCAGTTAAAACTGAAGCTAATATAACAGATTTCTATAATTCATGTTACCCTGACACAAAGCTAGGAAAATTGAATAGCGTCAGTCTCTTAAGTTAATGAGAAATTTCTTACGGAATTATCTAGTTGCCATTAACTATAGTTTTTGTTTTTCATTTTGTTACTCTGAGTAAGCAGTTCTACCATCTACAGACACTGTCAGTTAAAAACAAATGGAACATTATGAAAGGTTGTTAAATACTGTTGGCTTGCATTTTATATGTTTTATTTTGCAAACTGAAGATTTTTTTTTAAATACTGTAGACTGAAGAAATTTTCAGGCAGGAGGCAGCAAAGAAAAACTGAATTTTAATTAAAGGAAATAAACCGTGTTTATAGCATTGATAAATATTTGCTTCATAACTGCAGATTAAAAGATGCTTTAAACTAATCTTTCTGATGCTTTTAAATGATTTTGATTGGCAGGCTTCAACATTTGGAATATCTTTTTCTATTAAAGAATTAAAAAAAAAACAGTTCACTGACCTTTCACCTTAATTGTGAGTGTGAAAATTGGTTAGTTAAACAGAAGAAAATTTCACATTGCTTTAAATTATATACAAACAGTAAAAAAAAAAAAAAAAAAAAAAAAAAAATCAAAGAAAACCAGTTTCTCTCCATCACATTTTCTATTTTACATACCCCTAAATGACCTTGTGCCAAAATTTTTGTATTTAATAAATGACTTATGCTTACTTTTTCCATCTTTTTCAAAGGTGGAAAGATCCAATTGGTAGGAAGAAATACGGAGACAAAATAGGAAGAAATTTGAGATTTAGGTCAGGGAGACGTACAACTTATTAACACATGTGCACCAAAAAAGAGGCAGGTGAAGAAAATAGCAAGAAAAGAGTACTGGAAGGAGAGGTGGGGGGGGAGAAAGAGAGAGATTAAGAAAATTGAAGGAGGTGGGTGGGAAGTAGAATAGAACAGGTATCTAGATGAAGGTGGAAGGTAATAAAAAAAAAAAATAAGAGAAAGTTAGCAGAGTCGGGGGGGAGGGGGAAAAGATGGAAGGAAAAAGAAAACAAAATAAAATAAAACCAAGAAAGAGAAATAAGAACAAGAACCTGCAAGAGTTATAGCGAAAGGACCAGATAACAAACACATTTTTACAACTTTTTTTCATTTTTTTCGTTCTTTTTTTTTTTTTGTTTGTTTAGAATTTTTTTCGTTCTTTCTTCTTTCAGTGTGAAAGAAGAAGAAAAATAGAGAAAAAATATCAATTTTTTAACCTTTTTTTTTTTTTGTTTGTTTTGCTTTTCCAAAAAAAATAACAAACTGGAAAATATTGAGGAAGAAAAAAAAAAGTTAGGCTTTGAAGGACAAAAAACATGAGATGAGTTGTTTTTTTTTTCTTTTTCTTTTTTTTCAAACCAGAGCCGAAATAAATTTTGACAAATTATACAGAGAGAGAAAAAGTCATTTTGTTTAATTTTATTTATTTTGTTCTTACCATTCACACAGGCACCCACACATTTGAAAGAATTCCAATATTTATGATTTATTTTGGGAAGGGGGAAGGAAATTTATGTAAAATCCCTAAAAACAATTTTCTTTACAATTACATATTTGATTGATATATTTTTACTTTTGAATAATATGTCATTCTTTCTTTTGTAAGTTTTTAGGGAAGATTTTGCATTTAAAAATGCTAATTTATTGCTTTCATTATTAATTTTATTGCCTTTTGTTAATTTTCATCAAAACAAAATCATCAAACAACAAAACATTTGTTACTTATTCTTCACATGATATTTATAAAATAGTGGATGGAAAAAAAAATAAAATCTGCAACATCAATGTGATGTTCCCATGATGCAATTGCAAATTAAAAAAAAAAACAAAAAATCTTCTGTGTTCCCATCATGCAGTTCATGTCCACTTTCCTTCTCTTTGAATATTTTTCAATAAATTTTTGTTTTTTTAGATATTTATATGGAATTTCACCCAGGCAGGATATCATTATTCAAATCATGGTTGATAAAGCAGTAATTCATCATAATTATTTTCATATTGTGATAAATAATAAATCAGAATGGTGCTTTTTTTCTGTCTGAGAAAACATTTCAGGTCAAATTCAACAATTCATTAAATTTTGTATTCAGAATGCGAGAGTGTGCATCTACTTACCGAGACAAAAATCCTAGCATTGTAAACATTTATATATATATATGTTTAAAATTAAGATATATAATATGGACAAAGTTTTACAATTTTCGATAATTGAAAACATTCATGAAAGTAGTTTTGTCAAGAAATATATTCAATAATGCATTTCACCATTTAAGGTTTCGTCAGATCCGAAAAAGAAGAATGCATGTATGTGTAAGATTCATTATTTAAACACTCATGCATTTTTTTGTTTTTGGATTTAATGAAGTCTTAAATGGTGAAATGCATTATCAAATATATTTCAAAAACAAATCTACTTTCATGAACATTTCCAATTGTCAAATATATATTTAAAATTTATAAAACAAAAATTTCAGCTTTCATACAGCAGCAACTTTAAATTTAATTTTCCTATTTTTTAAGATTTAAAGAAATGAACTCAAAAGATAAAGTTTTCAGATTTAAAACTTGTACCTTTTAACACCATTAGTTACTTAATGAAAATAAATTTGATGTAGTCAAATTAAAATACAGAAATAAATTTTCGTATATAATTTTTCCTTGTTTAAAAAAAAATTCTTATGTTAATTTTAGATTAACTAAGAGAAACATAAAATCCACTGATTGTATCTTTTTAAAAAAATCCAATGTATCACATTGGATAATAACTAAGACTTTGTATATTTTCATTTTCAACAATAAATTTCTTTGAATTTATTTTAATTAGAATTGTTCCAAGGAGTGTAAACAAATTATTTACAAAATCTGTCTCTGTAAATTTTTTTTTTTTTCAGTTTTTCATTTTACTAAATGATGGAGAAGCTATCCTGTAAATGTGCTTGTAAGAACATTCCTAAAGGATCAAGACCAGTATAAACCATTTCTGCTTTATTCTATAAACCCTTGCTGTAGACTTTATCAAAGAAAATCATATTAGTTGGGATTTTTATTTAAAATCATTCTTAATTTTTATGAGAAGAGAGACAGCTTAACAAAATTTTATTTTTGCATCAAGTTTAATTTTATAAAACGATCAGTGATATCACCATTTTTAAATTTTATTTTACTTTCTTGAGCCAAGGGTTGATTTCTGTTGAAACTAAAATAATCAAAATACAGCAAGCCTTATCCACCTAAAATAAAATGAAAAAAAAAAAAAAAATGTCAAAGGGACATAATTCAAAATAAAAATGGTTAGAATTCATTTTATTTGACCTTTAAAAAGTAACTTATATGCTATTATTTGTTTCCTTTTTCTCTTGAAATACTTGGATAAAATTCATAATTTTAGCGATAACTTTAAAGATAAATTAACTCAAAAAGTTCATAACACTTAACAGATTTGTATGGTTGATAAATTTAAGAAAAATTTATTGTATATTTCTCTCTGATTAAGATTTTAAAATAAGAACTAAATCAACAAGTATTTGGTTTCCTTACTTCTTACATGCACACGCACACCTTCAAAAAAAATTGCTCACAATAAGTGGGACTGATAGAAAACAAAGTTGTTTTGAAATTGGGATAATTCTTTTAATAACTTTGATCAGCTGAAGCTGGTTTTTCTTTGGCAATGAACTCAAAGCTATCATGTCTTGTTTTTGTATATTTTTTGGTTTTTTTAGAATCCGATGTCACCAGACTTACAGCATATATTAAACTGACTCTACAATAAATAAATTTGACATTTTTTCTGCTTTTATTTTTGGACACTGAATTTTCAGGATAAATGGATTTCATATTCTTATTTTTTATAGATAGAATATCCAGTCTGCTTCATGTTTGTTTTTTTTTTTATATATTTTTTGTATATATGAATCAAAATCATATTTTTAATTGTTATATCTTTCTGCTAACAAGCTGTTTTGCAAACAGAATATGCACCATTTTGTTTGATTTCAACAAAATTTTTTCGAATGAATTTGGAAAAACAAATGAATACAAAAAACTACTATATGCAAGAAAAATGTTTTAAAAAAATTCTTAATGTCAATTTTATCTTTACGAGCAGAGAATTATAATTTTTTTTTTGCCACTAAAAATTTATTGCATTTTTAAATTTAATAAAGTTCCCACAAAAATTATGTTTAGTGGAGATGATACTATAAGCAGATTGAGGTGACAATCTTTCACATTTGCACAAATATTTTTTTAAATATTTTTTAACTCATTTTATTTTGGATAGTATATTTCGTCTCAGGTTTTGTAAATGTCTGTGGAATTTAAATCTTGTGATGAACCCTGCACATTAATTTTTTTTATTTTAGAATAATGAATAATGCTGCAATGGTGTTCGATTTAGGGAAGGACAAGAGTGGTAGTGTCGGATGGGGGATAACAAAAATCCAAGCATCTATTTTCTTCTCCAAAGGTAACACACACACAAAAAAATGAATACGCACTAGTTGTTTTTATTATTTCTTTTTTTTTTTTTTAATTCCTCCATTTAAATTTCTTGACATCAATACCCATATCATCTGAAACAGCCACATGCAAACTTTTTTTAAAATATATATATATATATATATATATATATATAGTTTGGAGAGGATGGTTGAATTAAAAAAAAAATATACGGGTGGTGGACTATCTTTCCCAAGTTTGCTAAGTGCAGAAAGAATCATCCGATAACTGCGATACAATTCTATAAGATACGTACTTATTGCTTTTTTAGAATTTGTGTGTTTTTTATTTATATAATCGTACAATAGAACATTTCTTCAAATAAAGAATTTCTTTAGTTTTCGATTTAAAAAAGAAAAAACCAAAATCATTTCTTAATCATCATTTCTGTTATTTTTTATTTTTTTTTTTTTGTCAACTTCCCTTCATTCATCTCAAACTGCGTTGTGAATAATTTGTTTAAAGCTGTAGTAGTTTACACTTAGCTGTTCAGTTGATAGACATTGCACGGTCGTTTAGGAGGCAGGAACAGAGGGAGGAAAACAAAATTAAATGTAATCAGTGTTGTACAGTGACTTCAAATCATGTGTCTTTCATTACAACTCATTTTATTTGATATTGTATTTATGTAAGAGAAAAGTGAACTTGCGTTTTTCTTTCTACATTAATTTTGTCATCATAATTCTTTTAGCATTAATATAATTAATCAATAACCAAATTTTTTACAACACATTACTTTTTCTGGTTATGACAATACTCAAAGAAAATGATATTAAAACAGACACTAATTAATAAAATTTTACTATAAATTGTTATTTTAATTCTATATTGTCCTTAAAAACAATATATCATCATAAATTTTAATTTAAATTATATATATTCACTATTTTTTTCGATATGCACAAATGTTTCTACATTAAATTGTTATATTATACACTTTAACATTTTTATTATAATTGTTATTTTAATTCTATATTGTCCTTAAAAATTAAATATCGTCATAAATTATGATATATTATTATATTCACTATTTTTTCGATATACACAATTCTACATCAAATCTCTATATTATACACATTAACATTTTTCCTATGTACAAACTTTATTGATTTGTTCAAAAATATTTGTTTTTAATTTTATTAACTGTTAAATTTTTAAAATTTTTATATTGAACAATAGCCTTTCTCAGTAGCAAAGCTGCCATGTTAACAATTTTCCCATAGTTTTTTCAGTTGTTCTGATGATGTTCTTATTGAGCGAAATGTTAACAACAGAATAAAATGTTAGACGTTCAACTGGTGTTTTACATATTCCATCTTGCATACTTTGTTTCGATATTTCATGTCAGTCATTTTATCATTAATGCTTATGGACACACACATGTGTTTAAGAATAGTTAACTAATTGGGTGGACACACC